TACTATATTTAATATGGTGTGGGGGCGCTTGAGAGAACCATTTATTTATTACCACGTTGAAATCGGTATTTTGTCGGTTAATATGGTGTGGGGGCGCTTGAGAGAACCATTTATTTATTACCACGTTGAAATTGGTATTTTGTCGGTTTTTTTTTTGTCACCTAAAATATCATTTTCCTTTGATTGTCATATTAATTTATCTTTTTGTGCCACGTAAATTCTGCCTAACAAATCAGTCTAATCTTTTTGCCTAAATATCACAACTCTTTAAACATATACAAAATTAGTAGGAACATTCTTGTTACACAAAAATGGTATTTTTGAATTTTTTTTTTTTTAAATGACATTACCATTGACTATTTTTTAACAGATTTCTTCAACAGGGACAATTAGTTCAAAACATAGATTTTTATTTTTATTTATTTATTTATTTTTTGGGTGTCAAATTAAAGCTCTTTGTTAAGAAGAAGATAAATCCTCAAGCATGACATCAGTAAGCTAATGAGGCCAAATCTGCCATGATCTAGAAGTCTCAAGTATTACATCAGTAAGCCAACGAGGCCAAATCTGCCATGATCTAGAAGTCCAAACAAAAGCCAAATATATATTTTCCTTTACATCACTTGGATATCTTCAAGTACAATTGACAACAGGGTTAAACCTTTCAATAGATTGACAATCACTTTCGACATCCACCAAAAGTAACCCCATTGACGTAATAACAGTAAACCTTCTCTAGCAACCAAAGCTTCAGCTACCTCTGCACTTCCAACATCATGAAAAAATACAGAAGCAACCTTCACAGGAAACTCACATGATTACATAGAATAAATCCCCCACCGCAACATCTAATTGCTCAAAAGATAAATAATAGAAGGCGTTATATGCACCTTATTTTTCTTCTTCTTCTTCTTCTCTTTTTTTTTTTTTTTTTTTTTTTTTGAAACCCAAATTAATATGCAAATGAGAAAAGAGGATAAAAGTTAAAAATGTGTCAAATATTGTAAGAGTGTCATTTTAAGTTTAAATTTTGATGAAATTAAGGTTAGTCGTTTTTCACCATACCTATTTGTTACAAAACATGTAAATCGCCATCCGTAATTTAAGAAATTTGAGACTTGTAACTTCGACAATTAGGTTAACCTAAAGAGTTTGAAACATGTCCTTCGGGGTTACCTCATCAATCTTCATGGATTGCGGGTTAAGATTTACTTTATAATTAGCACCGACCATGTATGTATTCATTCATTCACATTTTTCCTTTTCCACAAACTTTATGCGAGAGAATCATTGAATTGATATAAAATTGTTCAAACCAAACCAAGGCTATTTAGCAGGCTTGCAATCCTAGGAGTAATATGTAATATATTAATATTTATTAATAATAGTTATTTTAAAACCATCCTTTTTGTTTTATAGCAATGCAAAGTTACTAATTAAACTATTGTATTTAAGTGAAGTATTCTTTTTAATAGATAATATAGCTAAACAATGCATGTATTAGAAAAAGAATTTATTATTCTCTTATGTTCCGTTTGGTTAGATGGAAATAAGTTAGAAAATAAAAAAAATAAAAAATGAAATAAAAGTGAAGTGAATGAAAATAAAAGAGATTTTCTAGCATGCATTTTGTTTGTATGCAAATTTATATAAAAAAAAGATGATAATTTAACAGTTCAATTATACTCACTTAACAAAAAATAATAATACTAACAATAATAACATTTCAATTCGATTATTTGTTACTATTTGTAAAATTTATTTAAATTTTTTAATTCTAAAAATAAACTAAACCATCAATATCACAACACACGTCATGTTTTAGAGGGGGGAATAGGATGAGGAGAGGGAAAAGAGAAAAAAGAAAAAAGAAAATGTAAGTGTGATGAGGATAGAAATTAAAGACTTTTGTGCTACATTTGGTATGCAGAAATGGAATGGAATGCAAGTGAGAATGGAATAAGAATGAGAATGGAATAGAATAGTCATTCTCATTCTATTGTTTGGTTGTAAATATGAAATGTGTAAGAATGGAATGATAATAACCATTCTAGTGTTTGGTTCGACCAATTTAAAATTTAGAATGGAATAAATTTTTAATTAAATTCTCCAAAATATCCCTCTTAGTAACAATTAAATTAAATTAAATTAACAAAATGATATTCTCTAATAATTTTTTAAAAATAAATGGCGGCAGTAGCGGTGGTGGATGGTGGAAAGCGGTAGTAGTGTAGGTAGTGGTGTTGGAAGGCAGCGGTGGTGGCAATGGTGAGAATGGTGGTAGCAGTGGTGGTAGAATATGGCAGTGGTGTTGGTGGAAGGCGGTAGCAGTAGTGTGGTGGAAGGAGATAGTGGTGTGACTATAGTGGTGGTGGAAGGCGGCGGTGGAAGGTGGTGGTAGCAGAAGATGGTGGTTGTGGCGATGGTAAAAGGTGGTGGTGACAGTGGTGGAAGGTGGTGGCGGTGGTAGAAGGTGGTGGAAGGCGATGGTGGAAGGTGGTGGTGGCGGTGGCGGTGGCGGTGGTGGTGGAAGGTAGTGGTGGTGGTGAAAGGTGGCGGTGGTGAAAGATGGTGGTGGTTGTTGAAGGCGGTGGCGGTGGCGGTGATGGTGGTGGAAGGCGGCGATGGTGGTGTAGGGCTGTGGCGGTGGCGGTGGTGGAAGGTGATGATGGTAGTGAAAGGTGGTAGCAATGGTAGTGGTGGAAGGTGGTAGCAGTGGTGAAAGGCGATGGCGGCGGTGGTGGTAGTAGTGGTGAAAGGCGATGACGGCGGTGGTGGTGGAAGGTGGTGGCGGTAGAGATGGTGGTTGCGGAAAAACGGTGACGGTAACGGTGGTGAAAGGCGGTGGCGGTGGTGAAAAGTAATGGGCGATGGTGAAAGTCAGTGGTGGTGGAAGGCAGTGGTAATGGTGGTAGTGGTGAAAGGCGGAGATGATTGTGGTGGAAGGTAATTGTGATTTTTAGACTTGAAATATGAGGGTGTTTTGGGAAGTTAATTTTTTAAAATAAATTACTTGGGATTGGAATGGCCATTCCATAGGTTTAGTTGTGGAATAGATTTTCATTTCCAGAAATGAATTTTCATTCCAATGGAATGGCCATTCTCATTTTAAGTTGCATACCTGAAGATGCAAGAAATTCCTTCTCCTCTTTCTCTCTCTAGAATTCTTACACCTCAACCCAAAAAGATCCCTCTCCTTTCCATTCCATATCCTATTTATAGATATTTACAAGATATTTACAAGATATTTACTGATTGCTGGATCTGGGCCTATTCCTCCATAAGCCCTGGTCACCTTTGATGGGCTTACTCCCGTTCGGCCCATATGGTAGTGTCTTTATATGGGCCGACCCAGCTGTACGAACTAAATGTTGTGTTTGCGAGTCGGATCCGGCCCATGTCGTCCGGGGCCTCCTCAACTGCCCCCATAATTGCCCCCTATTTAATAAGGGGTAATTATTGATGGCGTCTCATCATGATGTTGACGGCTCGAGATAACCACGTGGGGGAGCGGACGGTCAGATCCAGAATCAATGTTCCGGGGCTCGAGGAATTTCTCGCCTTCCCGACGCTTCGGCCCTCAGGCCCCCTCGCCTTTATAATGCTCTAGAATTCCACTTCACTTCCCTTTACCGTCTCCATCATCAGCCAAGTCTCTCTCTTTCTAGAACAGTGCTAAGCTTTTTCTGATGAAATCCTTCAAGAGTCATTCTTCCAGCGATCTTGCAGTCCTCCGAGGTTAGTTTCGTTCTTTTTACTTTCGGCAGGCTTCCATTTATCCCCTTTTAGATTCTTCTAGCACTTCCACCATGGTTGTAGATCTGGATGTTCTTCGTATGAGACTTAGACTTCCTGACAACATCGAAGTTAGGGTTTGCCCCCAGGATGTTAACATTATGACCGGCGCCGGCCTCCTGCCCGGTGAAGTCTTATTCACGAACCTTCAATTGAATGTTGTTAGGTTCCCTCTGCACCCTTTCTTTAGTTATGTCTTCAATAGATTGGGGATATCCCCTCTGCAGGTCAACCCCAACTTCTTTAGAATCATATCTGTTATGCTCTTGTTGATGCGTGACAGAAATCTGGACCTCGACCTCATAGACCTCCTTCTGTGCTATAAGGTCAGTAAGATCCGTACTAACGAACCCTTCTACCACCTCTACCCGTTCGAGAAGATGTCCATATGTACGGACACAATAAAATCTGAGAAGGGTTGGAGGGATAGCATAGTGGGCATTAGTGGGCCTTGGTCTTCGCCGGCTGCAGAGGATTACCCAATCCCGAGCGCCTTTGGTGTCTGTTCTGTCTCCTCCTATAAGAAATTCAAATCTCATAAACATGACTGCCCCTGCGAAACATGCGTTCCTCGTTTTTGCACTTTCTTATGCCGTTCCTTGGGAATACCTTGTGATGACTTGAGCTATAGTGTTTGCAGGGATAGGAGTAACTACTTGAAGAAATACGTTCTGAACGATATTCCTTCCTGCTCAGATCTCCTCACTTCAGACAACCTCTTAGCGCTCTCATCACTCGGCTACAACATGAGCAGACTTCAGATTCCTTCTTTTGGCAGGAAGAAAAATACTCCCCCAGCCACTCCTGCTGCTGGGGCGACCTCCTCTCCAGCGTCAGCTTCTTCCTCAGCCACCATATCTGACACTGTCCCGAGCGCAGTGGCTATTAACCCTGTTGCCAGCGCCCCTGCTGCCAACCAGAACGCGTCCCCCCCAGCTACCATAGCTCCTGCTGCTGCGGGGGGCGGTCGGGACAAAGAACGAGGCAAAAGGCCTCATCCTGATAGTGAAGTCGATCCTGAGGAAGAGCCTCTCATTAGAAGGACCCGGGTCTCCGGGCCTGGTGCTCTCTTGCACCGAGCGGTCAGAGCTCCTGCTCCCTCTGGGCCTGCTGCAGCTGGTGGCTCTGCTTCTGCTTCAGGCCCCTCTTCTATCCCCACCTTACCGCCATGGGCCCCTCGGTACACCCGAACGGATGGGACGTTCATGAAACTGAACGAGACCATGCTGAAGGATGGCCAGACCGCTATGGCCTACTACAGGAGCATGTGGACTCCGAAGGACCTTGAGGCGGCAAAGGGCCTTTCCCAGAAGGATGTGTTCAGCCGCTTTCCCCAATCTGCTATGGAGGTGACTTTTATTTTCTAACTCATGCATTCTCTCATATTATTTGGTCTTGCCTTCGCCCGACCTGACTATTGGCTTAACCGTTTTTAATGTGCACCTATGCAGACATTGTTCGGAATGATGGCCATGCAGAAGCAGGTGGAGATGGGGAACGCCAGGGCCCGTAAGTTTTCTGACAGCCTGGAGGTGGCTAATAAAGAAAACGACCTCCTCGCCATGAAGAATACCGAGGTACTGGCTCGGCTTGACAAAACCGAGCAAGAGAGAGATGTCCTGAAGAAGGAGAATGATTCCCTTCAGGATGAGAAGGACGCCCTCCAGCTTGAGAAGAGCGTCTGGCAGACCGAGCGGGAATCAATTAGAGAAGAGAAGGCAGAACTCCAGCGCCTTCTAGCTGATGAACAGTCTGCTCGGATGGCTTTTGAAAAAAGAGCTCTGGACGAGCGTACCGCTCTGATCGACGCGATCAGCAGAGTGGGTGGTGGGATACTGGCCCTTCACGCTCGCTTCTCAAGGGTCGGTGCTCTTAGGTATGCTCAAGGATTCCGGGAAGGTTTCGCCGACCGGGTTCCGGATGAGGGACAGACCAGCTCCACTCCGGATGAGGTAGACAAGGATCTGGGGATCAAACCTCTGGGGGTCTATGTCGACCCAGAACCCACCGAAGCGGAGCGTATATTTGATGAGTGCCAGGACATTGCTTCCTCCAGGATCATCACAGCTCCTCCTACCGCTCTGCCACTGACCGCTCCTCAATCGTCAACCGTGGTTCCTTCCATAGCCACTGCTGACGCTGAACCCCAGCCGAACGATTCAGTCATTCACCTTGATTCCCCACCTCATGAAGGTGAGACGGCTGATGGGGCCGAGGAGGCGAGTCGGCACGACCAGGATGCTGTTGGTACTGAGGCATCTAGCTAGGGCTCCTTTGAATTCTTCCATTCCATATCTTTTTGTAATGATGGACATCTCTCTTTTGTAAACTCAATGCTCAATATTAATGAAACGACAGAACTCTTTTTCCCTATGTGTTGTGCTCTATTCAACTTATCTTCAATACATACATATCTCTTCTCTCTTTTTCTTTTATATTAGCTTTGCCGTGTGTTTGTTTATGGCAAGTGCCTGGCGCTCGGCTAGGATGCCACTTGCCACTTGGCTTTAAGTTTTTAGCAAGTGTCTGGCGTTCGGCTTATAGTGCCAGCTGCCACTTATCTTGCTTAAGTGCCTGGCGCTCGGCTAGGATGCCACTTGCCACTTGGCTTTAAGTTTTTAGCAAGTGTCTGGCGTTCGGCTTATAGTGCCAGCTGCCACTTATCTTGCTTAAGTGCCTGGCGCTCGGCTAGAATGCCACTTGCCACTTGGCTTTAAGTTTTTAGCAAGTGTCTGGCGTTCGGCTTATAGTGCCAGCTGCCACTTATCTTGCTTAAGTGCCTGGCGCTCGGCTAGAATGCCACTTGCCACTTGGCTTTAAGTTTTTAGCAAGTGTCTGGCGTTCGGCTTATAGTGCCAGCTGCCACTTGTCTTGCTTAAGTGCCTGGCGCTCGGCTAGAATGCCTCTTGCCACTTGGCTTTAAGTTTTTAGCAAGTGTCTGGCGTTTGGCTTATAGTGCCAGCTGCCACTTATCTTGCTTAAGTGCCTGGCGCTCGGCTAGAATGCCACTTGCCACTTGGCTTTAAATTTTTATAGTAGACCGTTGGAAAAGAAAATTCTTTTTTTGTAAATTTCAGTAACTTGCTCATTCATATGTATTTGATTGACAACAAACAACATCCAATTGAAGCCGGAACTTAGCTTTTATTGGTAGTACCTCTTCAGAGACGTGGCGTTCCAGGGCTTGCTGACCAACCTTCCCGCCATGGTTTCCAACGTATATGCCCCCTTGCCAATGACTTCTGCAATTCTGTATGGGCCTTCCCAGGGTGGCATCATTTTTTTGACCATCCCCACCTTTCTTTTCAGAACCAGATCGCCAGGGGCAAAATCCCTGTGTTTTACTCTCTTGTTGTGACTATTCGCCAGCACTTGCTGATACGATGCTAGCCTTACAGCCGCTGCGTCCCTCCTTTCGTCTATCATATCGAGGTTCAATCTTAACATCTTGTCGTTCTGATCTCGACTCCATGCTAAGCTTCTGATAGTGGGGACTAAATGCTCAACCGGTATAACTGCCTCGGTGCCATACGCCATTGCGAACGGGCTCTCCCCAGTCGGCCGCCTTGGGGTGGTTCTGTAAGCCCATAGAACGTTCGGGAGTTCATCCAACCACTTCCCCTTATGATCTTCCAGCTTCTTCTTAATGCAGGCGAAAATGGTTCTGTTTGTGATTTCTGCTTGTCCGTTGGCCTGAGGATGACTTACTGCAGCCAACTTCTGGTTGATTCCATACTCCTCCAGCAGCTTTCTTACTTGCCTGCTGTCGAGGTTTGTGCCATTGTCCATGACTATTGATCTGGGAACACCGAAACGGCAGATAATATTGTTCCAAATAAATCGTCTCACATGAGTCTGAGTCACACTAGGATACGGTTCTGCCTCCACCCATTTAGTGAAGTAATCCGTGGCCAGTAACACATACTTGTTCTGAGCTCTTGCAGTTGGCAGAGGACCGACCACATCCATCCCCCATTGCGCGAAAGGCCATGGCGAGGCCATTACGTGCAATTCCTCAGGTGGTTGGTGGATCAATGGTCCATATCGTTGGCATTTATCGCACCTTCGAGAGAACTCCTCCGTATCTCTTGACATGTTTGGCCAGAAATACCCTTGTGTCATTGCTTTATGCGCTAACGATCGCCCCCCAGAATGATTGCCACACACACCCTCATGAATAGCTCGCAATACCTGCTGCGACTCCGCGGGGGTGACACATTTCAAGTATGGGCCAGAGTAGGACCTTCTGTACAGCTGGTTCCGCACGATGGCGTACTTGGCAGCATTCTTTTTGAGTCTCCTAGCTTCATCCCTTTGCATAGGCAAAACGTCATCTCGAATATAGGTAATGATGGGGTCAATCCAACTCGGTTCATACGGTATGATGTTGACTTGCCAAGGGTCAGAGTCCAACGGTTCTTCGAAAATAGATGGCTGGGTCACTATTCCTACTGGAATCACCCTCGCCAATGTTTCACCGCAACTCGAAGCACTGCATGCTAAACGGTCTGCATCTGCATTCTGTTCCCTTGGGAGCTGTATGAATTCGATCTTTGCAAAGTCCTTGGCTCTATGCAGAACGGCAGAACGATATGCCCCCATCGTGTCATCCTTGGTCGCGTACTCACCATTTACCTGTTGAACAATCAGCTGCGAGTCACTATACACTGTCAAACTTTTGATCTGTAGCTCTCTGGCCAACTTTAATCTATTTAGCAACGCCTCGTATTCCGCTTCATTATTGGTGGCTCGGAACTCAAGTCTGAGTGCTTGGCTCAAGGAAGTACCCTCTGGGGTTTGCAGTTTGATCCCAATCCCAGCCCCCATCTGGTTAGAGGAGCCATCCACAAAAAGTTTCCAAGAGCCGCATCTAAGGTCCTCTTCCGTATCTTCGGTGTCACATTCTAGTAGGAAATCGGCTACCGCTTGCCCCTTAACAGCTGTTCTCGGCTCATACGTTATGTCAAATGAACTCAACTCTATGGCCCACTTTGTCATTCTACCCGAGAGCTCTGGCTTGTGCATAAGCGTTCTGATTGGGAAAGTTGTTAGAACAGCTATGGGGTGGGATTCGAAATAATGCCTCAACTTTCTTTTTGCATTTACAAGGGCAAGTACCACCCGTTCGGCCTTTGAGTATCTTTTTTCTGCCTCCGTCAGTGTTTTGCTTACATAAAATACCGGGTATTGCACCCCTTCCTTGCAACGAATCAGAACGGCACTCGTCGCGACACCAGATACTCCAAGATATAGAAATAACTTTTCTTCCGGTTCTGGGGCTGACAGGACTGGTGGATTCTGCATATATTCCTTCAAATGAGTCAATGCTTGTCGTTGCTCATCCCCCCAGACCTGCCTTCCATGGTTCCGAATCGTGTCAAAGAATGGTTTGCAGTGATCTGACAATTTTGAAATAAATCGACTTAATGCAGCTACTCGTCCTGTGAGGGCTTGCACCTCTCTGATCGTCTTTAGCTCGGCATTCTTAATCAAAGCCTCTGCTTGAGCGGGGCTAACTTCGATGCCCCTGCGGTTGACCACGTGTCCCAGAAACTGTCCGGAACTCACACCGAACGAGCACTTGGTCGGATTGAGCCTCATCCCATATCGCTTTAGTACATCAAATACATCTTGTAGATGCTTCAGATGATCATCCTTTTTCCTACTCTTTACCACCATATCATCAATATAGGCTTCCACAATCTTACCCATTTGATTCTTAAAAACTTTGCTAACAAGTCTTTGATAAGTTGCTCCCGCATTCTTTAGCCCGAAAGGCATAACTTTGTAGCAGTATGTTCCTCGCTCGGTGACAAAAGAAGTTTTTTCTTCATCTGCGGGGTCCATAGGAATCTGATTATAACCTGAATATGCGTCCAGAAAGGTTAAACGCTCATACCCAGTGGTGGCATCCACCATTTGATCAATCTTAGGCAACGGGAAGCTGTCCTTCGGACAGGCTTTGTTCAAATTGGTGAAATCAATGCATACTCGCCATTTCCCATTCTTCTTCTGCACAACAACGACGTTGGACAACCACTCAGGGTAGTGCACCTCTCTGATAAATCCCGCATCAAGCAGCCTATCGACTTCTTCCGCTATGATCTGGTTACGTTCTGGAGCAAATCTTCGCTGCTTCTGTTTCACTGGTTTGAAATTGGGATTGACATTCAGGGAATGACAGGATACGGAGGGACTAATTCCAGGCATGTCTAGGTGACTCCATGCAAATACGTCGGCATTGTGGGACAAGAAATCCACTAGCTCTTGCTACTCTTCTCTGGTCAGTCTTATACCTACTCTGGTAGTTCGTTCTGGCCTGGACTGATCGATCTGCACATCCAGAAGGGGCTCCTCGGTCAAGTCGACTGACTCCTCCACCCTATTCTGCTTGAGCGGAGGTTCCTGTAATTGCTATCTGGGGCTTGCCGAACGGACGGGCGCCTTTCCTTTCCCAGCATGCTTTAGTGTGACGGAATAACACTCTTTGGCTGCGACTTGATCCCCCCGAATGTCTATCACTTTATCTCCATCGGGCCCGAGGCACCTCATGACCTGATGCAGAGTTGAGGGTACACCTCGGACTCTGTTAATCCATCCTCTTCCCATCAGGAGATTATACGAGGGGTGAATTTCCACAACCACAAAAGTTTCCATAAGAGATCGTTCTGCAGCTTGAACTTCCACTTCCACCATCCCGACGGGTTCCACCCTCTTCCCATCGAACCCTAACAAGGGATTTCCGGTGGGCTTGAGCCTCTCTGGTTTAATGTCGAGCCTGTCAAATGTGTCTCTCGGCATGACATTCGCACTGCTCCCAGGATCGATCAGAACTCTGCGCACCAAGCAATCTGCCACTGTC